TGGAACTTTTTGAGTCTTATAAGATTTATCATCACAACCTCATCCACACCACGTTTGTTGTTGTGAGGAACTATTCACTCTGTGCTGCCCTCTAGAGGATGCACTGCTTAATAACCACGCCAATGTAAAGAACTCCTTTTTACTCCTTTCCATTTTCTCCGTCCCCTCTCTCTTCCCCCTATCTCCTCCTCCATTAACAGACATCAACAAGCTGCCATCCATCCTTCGTGAGTGAGTGAGTGGCATCACAAATCCATTAGCTTAAACAATGCAAAACATTTCATCCCTGCATCCATCTCTTTCCGACTCCATCCTCTCCTTCTGTCCATCTTTCAACTCCTCTTACCATCACTCTGTACTGAGTCATGTATCACATCCCATCATTGTCCTTATTGCAAAAACAATGGGGCGCCACTGTTTGCCACTGGAGGGCAACTCAAGACACACTCAGCTCCAGCAAAGTATTTCAAAGTCAAACGATTGACTCCATCGTGGGTTTAACCTCCTGAGTTATTGGGGATTTCAACTGTCGAATATTTTACATGAGATTTCTTGTAATCGCTGAACAATCCCAGCATCAGAAGGTTCATACAGCCTAAAAAATAAATCCAACAAGGCAGTTGATCCAGACTTAACTATGGCGGTAACACAAACTGCTGTCAGTGTAGCAGTAAAGAAGCTGCAGTCACGGCTGTGAGCCTGGGTCAGTATTAACAAGGGCTTTTACAGGCAAAGACCTCCACAGGCTCATTAAATTCCTGAGAAATTAAAACGACCAGTCAAGTATTGTCCCAGACGCTAAATCCTCTTTTCAATTACATTTCTACAGTATGTGTGAATGTGACTATTGTTCCACGTTGGTTGCAATAAATGTTGTAGTGATTAAAAAAGTGTGTTTAGCTTTAAGTAACAGAAATGATTGGCACCAAGTAGGGAAAAAAAGAGTTTATATAAAACCACCACTGTGTTGCAGAGGATGCTGTTAATGTGGGAGAAGAATGTGCAGCAGGTGGAGCACGATATAAACTAAAAATATAAAATTAACAGTAGAGATTAGATTAGCAGGAGGAGAAACCCTCCGGAGACCAAACTGCAGTTTGCAGTGACTTAGCTCAGATATTACATCAGTAATTATACCCGTATATTGTTTAGTTTTTTTTCAGATTTTCTCATTAAACTATGGTTGACTATGGTCAGAAGTCACTGAGAAAACAGAACTAAAACAACTTTTCAGTACCTGATTTAATTTGCCGTTATTTCCTTCTTGGTTTGCCACTTTGGGAACCATTGGTGTCACTCAGTACCATGAATAGCATCAGTGTGACAACATTAAACCACCGGCACTGCTCTGTATGCTACATTATTCAGGGATTTAAAATTTAAATGTGTTTACTGTTAGACTTTTTCCTCACTATCAAACGATATATTCAGGTAGCACTATATACAGTACACCCAATTTAATTTGCTCACATTAATAATTTATCGTAAAATCTAGTCTGGTTGTCTCAGTTTAAATTAATTTAATACTGTAGCCAATACAAAACATTTAATCATTCCTCCAATGGCCATTAGGAGATCCTCTACCGTCGTGATTCCATTGTAAGAGATGGGACAAAACACCCAGCCCTCTTTCAGAACAAGAATTAAGTTTTATTTTAATTAAGCTAATCTGATGCTTCTGCAGCTGCTCTTCATCATTTCTTCTCAAACTATTCTAATGTTACTGCAAACACCTCTTTCTTTGTTTCCTGAATGGATTTTGGACTGAACGTGTGAACACAGCCACTTGATTTGACCAACCTCAATTGATGAAGCCTCATGTTACCTCAGATTTAGAGCCAGTGTACACATGGATTGATAACAGTGACCTGTGATGAAGCTATTCTTTAACCTGCCAATTCATTACTACTAAAACAACTCCTGCTTTTGCTCCCATTTTTTTTTTTGCTACATTCATAAATATGCATGTCTATTAAATTTGCATGTGCTCCATTTGAAGTAAGTGTTTTAGAATATTAAGTCGCTCGTGTCGCCTATGTGAATTTTATAGCACACACACTGAACTCAACAGTAATCTTGAAAAGAAGTGTGACGGCATTCACCCTTCAAAGGCTCTTCTTAAGGCGAGGGTCTTTTGTGTGAGCAGACGATTGATGGGAAGGTGCAGTGAGCTAAACCACAGTACTTTGATCCTTTTTGCTTCTTAATAATCACACCTATTACTTCTTCTCTGGGCTCCTCTGAAGCGGTTGAGAATGAGGATGACTTTTGTCGGCCAGGTTGGGCACTTGTGTGTTAAAGACGAGGCTAGATAATTTTTAAGATGCAGTGCGGAACTGATTTTGATAGAAAAATCTATGGGCAAACACTGGCGGACGACATGACACACTGGAACCTAACGTACACAATCACACACACACACACACACAGGCAGGGAGGGCCGGGGGGGGCGACCGTGCCGATTGTTTGTCTCCCTGGATCAAATGGTGAGATGGGAAAAAAAAGGACCAAGGGGGAGAATGGAAAATGACAAAATAAACGAGTGCTCTTTTCTCCCGCTTCTCTTTCTCTCATCAGCCGCTGCACAGAAGAAGAATGATCTGCCACAGTCTTTTTGTTGTGTTAGCTGACACTACCGCACACAGGCAAACCCCCCCCCCCACACACACACACAGATTCCTCTGCCCACGTTGCTGTTGACTATCTGAACTGATAAATGACACCCCCATTTCAATTACTGCCCCTCCTCTGTGCAACACCTCTCACCTCTTACAACCACTGAAAAGCAAAATACAAAGTGGCTCCAAATTTGAAGCTCTGTGGACATGACGATGACTAATGGTCTGGTTGTCAGTTTGGTCTCATTAGAATATTAAGGCCAAGATGAAGGCCAAAGGCGTCGGAGAAGACACGATGGGTAGATGTGGTTAAATGGGATGAAGAAAAGACTTCTGAGATGTGGCCATTCTGGCTCTTCACCAATCATATAATGTAACGCAGCCCGTCATTCGTTTGGAAACCGGCCTCTGAGCAGGGCGTTGGATTCCCTCTGAGGCCGTTGTCAGGATCACACACTGTGGCTGTGTGTGACATTTGGCCGGGGAATCTTTTCTGTTAAAATGTCTTGAGTCTTTCATGTCTACTTGCAGTTCATGTCTCCCGCTGAGTCCTTTGCACTGTTTTTAATACAAAGTGAGCAGCTGAAGGGGGACATTCCACGAGAGCATCATGTGTCATGTTTAGTCATTTTCTAAGACGGTTTGCTGGGAGCTCTCCTGCTTTGAGTTACTTGTCTCAAAAAAAACTTGAGTCACAAAGATCTGTGTAATTTTGCATTTAAATTCGAACATGATCTTTAGGTAAACACACTCGACTGTGAATGGGAACCCCACAGAGTGAAGGAGTGGTGATCAAAAGAGGTTTTATATATTTATTTAACACAGTCAAAGAAAATCAAGCAGGGTGGAAGGAGGTTTTTTGTTAGAGTGCAAAATGTTGCATGGAGGCAGGAAAACAGATGGAATGTAATGGATATATAGGAGAGATAGATAGAAGGTGTAAAGCACAAGGAAAGGAAAGAAGGAATATGGCAGATGGTAAATGTAGTTTTAGCCCAAATGGCCTCTCGATGCTCCACTGGACACGTGTGTGAAGTCCACAAGCAGTCACACCACAACATCTGTATCCTCATCTGTGCACATGTGAAGTACAAAACCCAAACACAGGAGAATGCAACTTTAAATGGAATCACAACTTATGACTAAAATACCTGAGCACTACTGTGAAAGAAAATAATGGCAGCAGATCTTGAGAGCAATATAGAAACATTTATCAATGGTCAAATGACCATCACAGAAACAAACAGTACGAGCAATTGTGTGTCTCAAATTTAGATATCGGCCGACTGAGGAGTGCGGAGGACTTTGTTGGATTTAAATCCAGTAAGAAAACATATTTTTGATTGTACACGAGTGATCAAAGTATCTGAATTAGAAAAGACAAAAAGACGAAGGTATAGCTGATAATAACAAGCATTCTACACTGTAACTAGCTTTCACAGACTCCCGGTGTTGTCCATAATACAAAGACACACAAATCCCTGAAAAATGTTGCTCAGCCCTCAACTAGGCAAACCCCAGGACAGGGTCACACCCCCAGAAATGAGTTATACAGTTCAGAAGATTACCCATAGTTCAGTTCATGTCCGACAGCAGCTCAAATGATATTTCCCATCATGGTCATTCTGCATTTAAAAATGTTATCGATGTTTGAAAGTATATATAAATACTGAAGAATATATAACGAAATGATAATGATAATCTAGCGAGTCAGTGGTTCAATCCCAGTCTTCCCTATCTGCGTGCCAGTGTCCCAAACTGTCCCTCATAGAAAAAAAGTATGAATGTGTGGGTGAATGGCAATAATCTGTACTGTGAAGCACATTTACAGACCATTCTACAGCTTTGCAATAATTGTTAAAATTCATATCTTACCTGCTTTATCAGAATGGTAGAACTGGAGCTATCCACTTAGAAAACAAACTTAATAATGCATGAAAGGAGAGACTCAGTGGAGTGTCTCAAGTTTGAAGGACTCTTTCAGCGTCTCATGATGAAAACCACGGATGTCCCTCCTGAACGTGAACATATTCTGTGTCTTGAGCAGAGAACTGGAAAAACACCTTTTCTCATTTCCTGTAGAAGAATCCATCAGCATCAACTGACAGAAGTGGTTACAGGTGAGACACCGACCCCAGTGTGTATATTGTGAATTTTGACAGGACAGCAAACCTTGTGAATGGTGAAGTTTTATTCTAGTCGCTCTACAGAGAGAGAGAGAGAGAGAAAGTGAGAGAGAGGGATAGAGAGAGAGAGAGCGAGAGAGAGAAAGAGAGAGAGATAAAGAAACAGTGCCACTGTACAGAAGAGCTCCTGTGAAATTCACACAAAAAATATTGTTTTTACTCTTTATCATTTATAATTCTCCATGATGTATTCCAGTATGAATTTACAAGCGATGTATACAGGTGTCATTTCTAAATATATTCAAAATAGTTCCTTAAAAGTCTTTGAGGAAGTATTCGTTTTAAAAAAAAAAGCTCTATTCTTACAGCAAACAATAAAGAAAGAGAGGTCTCGTATCTTTGGAGGGATAGCAGACTCAAAGTAGAGGGTTGCTTTTTTTCTTTTTATCTTCTTTACAGTTGAAGTCCTGACTACACATGAAGGAGAGGGAAGAGAGAAGCAGAGCTGGTGATACAGTAATTCTCACCTGCCATTGGAGGAAGAGCAAGGATGTCCCGCCATACCAAGCCAACCCTGACCCCTGACCCGCTCCCCCATTGGACTCGACGCGGCCTGATAACGGCCCGTCCGCCAATGAGGAAGTTGCACTAGGGTCAAGTCCTCGCCTTCTCCCCCAAAACAGCAGCAACATCTTCATCGTGTTAAACATAATTTTTTTTTCTCTCAAATATGTATATACTCACACCTGGTTACAACGCATTAGTGATCATAACATCATAACAAAAAGAACAAACAAAAAAAAGAAACATAAAACATTAAAATTGTTACATCTGGGGTTGCATGCCATCACCTCATTATTTATCATTAAATGTAATTAAAATACATTTTTGCCATTAAAAAGAGCAGGGTTGTCATCACAAGGGTGTGTGTGTGTGTGTGTGTGTGTGTGTGCGTGTGTGTGTTTGAACATAAAACAGCATCAGTTTACATGACAGTTCTGTAAAAGTAGAACGAATAGAACAAATCGCCATGAGTTCATAAAATGCAAGGGTGCCGTTTGATATTTTTACATGTGCATATTGTTCACTTGTCAGCTCACACAAGCAGCATGTGGAGATAAATATGATAATAATAATAAATATGCAGAATAGATGCAAAAAAAGGACAGATGTAGCTCTTCAGTCAACATTGGGTAAGCTGATTGGGAAGCGAGGAGAGGTTCACTGCAGTATTCCAAGAGTACAAAAGGGCGATATGACCTTGGTTGTTAAAGATGGAGCTTCAATTGAAACACAGTGGCTAATGCAGTTGACTGCCTTTATAAAACATGGAGAGGGAAGAGAGAGATTCCTGTTGACTTTTCCATATAAGGGTAGCATTTCAGATTTTGGATGTTAAAGTAACATCCTCCATTCTGTTAAGGGTGCTCATTCATTTTTTTTCACTGAGCAAGACGATTTAACCTCCCTACCGCAATCCCTCCTTCCCCTCCTTCTCTTACCTCTTCTTCTCTCTTTACTTGGGTTGGATGAGTTCGGACAGAGAGCCGAACTGGAAGACCTTGGACTGGTTAACACCAAAAGGACAAAAAATTGATCCTGTGTGTTTTTCTTTTTCTTTTTTTTTTCCTTTTAATATTTTTTCTACAAAAACTCTGCGCCGCATCATGTTCTGTCGCTACGGTAGAAGCTCCCCTCAAAACGCACAGAATCATCCTGAGGTATTTTATTTGATACAATTTGGCTTTGTGAATCCAATCAATCAAGCAAATCAGTATGTCAATACGATTACATGTTTTTTTCTTTTGACTGTACAATTTGTACAGAATAATACTACAAAAAAATGTTTTTGGGCACGCGTGTGCGTGCAAGTATGTGCATGTGCAAGTCTTTTCTGCCAAGTGTTATCAAAAAAAACTAAACAAACAATCAAACAAACAAATGCATAAACAATCAGATTAGGAACCAAATGGTTTTCTTCAAGCTTACCCAAGTTCTGCCATGCACACACACAACTTACTCCACACTAAGATGGATACATAATTGATGAGTACATAACAGTGGAGACTTCATAGCTCCATCCTTCTCCATCTTTTCCCACCCACCCCAACCCACCCAAACAACACCATGAAAGTAAACAAGGGATCCATCTCAACTGGTCTTTAGATCATCAAGAGCCTGGTTGGATGTGGATCAACAGTAATTGATCATTTTAAATCACAACCCCTGTTTAGTCTGTAGTCGTTACTATACGATACTGTATAGCACTGCTACTGCTGTACCAACCGACAAACCAGCTCAACTTCACAAAAACCCAAAGAAATGAAGTGAAGTGGTTCTATAATAATCCAACACTTTAACACTGTGTCATGTTGATTGAGAAAGGGAAGGAGGAAGGATAAAAGTAGGAAGGTAATGTCAGTGTGTGGTTTTTTTTTTACAGTCAATACCCTGTTTCTCAGTGGCAGGGAGGTCAAAAACACCTTAGTGCCTATCCCCTCCCCAACTTAGATGAGGTTGTGGTGGACCCAGTTGTTATTTTATCCTTTTCTCCCTTGTTATATCCTCTTTGCTCTCTTTCCTTCCACCATTCTCTTGCTCTTTTTGAAGCAGGAGCAGCATGACACTGTTTTACTAAGCACAAAGGTCAAGGATCAAGGTTTCGATTGTACAAGTATCCATCCACCATATCTAGCAAGACAGTCCCTTTTCAAAAACATGTAAAATATGTGTCTGAGAGTGTACATGTGTGTATTTTCTCACCTCTGACACAAAAAAAATCAACCCATGCAAAATAATCTACTACACTTGATGGTATTTTTCAAAAAGCTATGCTTTTTTTTTAAAAGCAAAGGTGGAAGAGAGGATTTAAAACTAATGGCTATTGTGCTACCAAATAAGCAAACACTAAAATCTTACATAAGGGGATCCGGATGCCAGAATCCCTAATAAATCTTATAGTTTAATATAATAAAAGAGCAATACGTTGCAATTATTTTTCTATGTGCAGTGCCACAAATGAAATGCCCATTAATTGCCTCAGGTGTCCCTGCTTGTCTCGCGTCATTTTGTCTTTTTTATCTGTCAGTCTGTAAACATTATTCTTCGATAGCACCTGCATTACTCTCAGTTTTCCATTACTACCACGGGCAAAACCTGGGCTTAACAAATTCTGAACAAGCACACGATACCGCCAAAAATGACTGGATGCTCCACTCACTGCCATTTAGCGTCTCATCTGCTTTCTCCTCTCTCTCCCATTGCACTGCCAGGTGTCTCAGTGGCCATATTTGTCAGCCTAACAAGCAGCAGACCGTTGGACCAGCTCACTGTGACGTCCCTGCCCTCCTGGGACATCTACATGTCTGGCTGCAACAGCAAACATGCCCATCTGGTGCCCCTGTCAGGCCTCTTCTCCTCACCTAGTGAGCCCTAAGCTTGATAGTGGAGGTGGAAAGGAAAAAGGGGGAAATTAGGAGCAATTGAAGGAGAGTTTTCTTCTCTCTCTCTCTCCATCTAATTTTCTTCTCATATAATTTCCCCCATCCTCCTCTCTACTTCCTCACTAATTTCACTCACAGATCAACTGCCTCTTCCCCAACAGCTCTGTTCCTTAGGCCTCCCACAAATGGGACTATGCCATTTCCTACCCCCTTGCAAACTGAAGAGGTTAATCATTCCCCTTCCATTTACTCCCAGATAACTTATGGCAGAGTGACGGCCATGCATCAAACTCATTGGTACATGGCAGAGAGTGGATATGAATGGTGATATCATCTGCAAAGAGAGTAGTAGTAGCACTGTCATACCAAAGTGGGCACAAGTTCTTTTGGGTTACAATGTCAAAGAGAAGAAGAAAAATGTAGTGTGGCTATGGCATCCCTTAGTGGATAACATAGTTGATAAATTTTAATACAAACCCAGAGAGGAGTAAGGAGGAGAGAGCACATTATTTCTTCTATCAACTAAACATCTGACTCCAAACTGGGGATTTTTTTATACACCCGTCTATTGCTGAACTGGGCTGAGTTTAGGACACCACGTGGGGCCGGGTATGCACTAGTCTTATTGGCTGAGTAAGGCATCACATGCTCTTTATTGTACATGTCGTTAGTTATCCGCCCGTCCCGTGAGCAGTATGAAGTGGTGGATTTAACGGAAGAGCGGAGATTGTTCGCATCGTTACGTGTTTTGATGGGTGGGGCTCCAAGGACCGTTGCAGGCGAAGCTACTGCCAGCTGTTTGTAAATATCAGAGGAACTACGCCCATGGACCAGTCTGCTGCTGGTGTCATCCCTCAGCGAGTGGCTGAGGAATGGGTTTTCCGAGCCATGGGCCGGGTACAGGGATTTGCTCCTCTTGCTTTCCTCCAGGTTGTGGTTAAACATAGATTTGGACCCAGTGCCAAACAGTCTGCCGGAATAGGGACGCATTCCAAAGAGGTTCGCATAGTGCGAGTCAGATGTGGAGTCTAGGAAGCGATCCTTCTCTTTGAGGCTGACACTGCGCGCCGGTCGGCTCAGGTCTACATCCTTGGGTTTTTCTAGCATGATGTTGTCAAAGGAGTGCTGACGACTCAGCCTCAAGCGATTTCTCTTTTGGACATGCGGCCCATCTGTCTGTGGCCAATACAGACCAAACATCTCGTCTGGTTGCTGCTGCTGTTGGTGGTGCATGGTCGGGCTGACCAAGGGGTCTGTGAGGAGCTGGTCTTCACTAATGTCATACAGGTTGGCCATGTGGAGGCATGCTTCGCACCGATTGTAGGGTGAGCGTGTGGCAGAAGCTGCAGCAGATCCAGTAGGTGGGTATGACCCAGTAGGTGGGTAGCTAGCGGTCACTTTGGACAAACAGGAACGGCAGTGTGTCTGTTTGTACCGATCAATGGATTCATGTGGAGACAGGTTTTTCTCTTTCAGGTTGTAGTGTTTAGAGTAAGCTGGGTCTGGTAGAAGATCGGAGTCTGTATGATGCAAAGGTGAGGAGTTCAGATGAATGATGGGCTGCTCACACTTCCTATAGTTGTCACTCTGGTCGGAGTAGATCTCGGGGTATTCCAAATCATCTGCAGCAAGGCCACGACTCTCGCGATAGTGAATAGGGTCTGAATGCAGGCTCATCTCTCGGTCTGAGTCGATAGTGTAGATTTTCTCTCCTCCTCCCCCTCTCCCAGTTTGGTTGGTACTGCCGCTGACCTGCTTAGTCTTTAAGTAGGACAGCTCCACCTCACTGCAATCCCTTGGGTATTTTGATGTCACAGATCTTTTTTTTAAGTTGTCCTTGGGTTTCAGGTGCTTGTTGTTTTCTGGGTCCTTGTAGGAGGCTGCCCGACTGGAGCAGTCAGAGATGTCAGAGTGGGCTGTGTCCTCAGGGAGATAGCGCTGTGTCTTCATCGACATGCGTGGATCTGGCATCAGCATGTCGGGCATTGGAGGGGGGCCAGGTGGTACAGAACGTAGTGTGTCCACTGACTTCTTCCACAGGGTCCGTGGCGGCTTGGCATTAGTCTGGACTGCATCAGCACTAACTGCCACCTCTACTGTGTTGGGATTGGCATCGTTTAGGGTCAGAGGATGCTGGCCCCCCTGGAAGATGTAGTTGTTAAGGTGGTCTTTGTGGCGGTTTGCAAGATAAGCCTGCAGGTCGCCAGTGTCCCCATAGATCATATCCTTGGGAGCATAGCTTCGGTTGTCAGCGTAGATGAAGTTGCCCTTCTCTGCCATCATGTCCATGATCATTGGGCCAGCTGAGTGCATGAACTCTCGTTTGGGTGAGTTCATGCGAGAGCCACCCAGGTTAGACATGTTGGTCATCTGTTTGGCTGACTTTATGAGCTTAAGCATTTTGTCCTGAGGGCTAAAGTCCAGATCCGTCTTTTTCTTCATGTCAATGTGGACTCCATGGATACAACTCCAGATTCCCTGCATGGTGACACATGGATGAACAAGTGGAATGGCGGGGGAGAGAGGGAAAGCCAAATACGATATGACGAAGGGTAATTGGGAGGAAGAGGGGAACGAGAAAGGGAACGAGATTTATGGAATGTAAGACGGACAATCAAACATAATGAAGAGAGACAAATAGAATAAGATTACTTATTTACTCTGGCCAAACATATCAGTGCTTTGTATGTTTTATTGAAATGTATTATATTAATATATTATATTGTTAAACTGGTAGTGAGTCATTGACACAAACTTGAAAGAGTATTTACAGAAGCTTTCTTTCATGTTCACTGAAACATAGGCTACTTGTTAGACTTCGACTTTGTGAAAATCGTTTCTTCTTAACAGCCGTGCATGATTGATTTCAGAGGATAGCGTAGTCAGAACGTCATAACAATTCCAGAAGTGCTTAAGTGGAAAATATTAAATATTAATCATGTAGACACCAAGACAAAAAAAAACACAGACTATTGCCAAAGAAAAATTAACCAACCCACACATCAAAACAGTATTTAGCACCACTGCCAGCACAAACCCCTGTCTATCAAAACCAAAAACAACCAGTGTGCTATATTTTGTAAAAGGGACACACAGACAGAATGTGATGCAACTCGATGCAAGATGTTCAGCGGCTCCATCGATTTTACAATACAACTACTATCATCTGAAAACCTCTATTTTAAGAAAATGTACTGTCATCTTCAACCAAGTAAAATGTATCCAAATTAAGAAAAGGCTGTTAACAATGCGTCTCCTAATTTTATGCTGCAGGCTTACCTATCCTGCAGGGCTCACAAATCCTTTGTGAAAGAATAACAGTCAACAACAGAAATTACCATCACTTTGACTGTGAGGGAAATTAAATAAATGACAGGTTTTTTTCTCTGAGCTAACAACTAAACTGCAGCTGTCAATCTAATGTCTGATAGAAATGTCTTTTAACTCTCATTCTGTGCTTTCTCAGAAATACAACTGCAAATTATATTTCTTACTGCAACCCATTATCAACAACACAAGATTGGAACAGAGCCCCTAAAGTGTGCATAAGATATAAACTTGTTTCCACAAGGTTTTATATAATTACCCCGTGGAAACAAGTTAGTGTACGTTCAGCAAATGATTCCTGCTGATGACAATTCCGTGTCTCTATACAAGAGCTGCAAGACTTTCATTTTGTGTCCTGATTAGCTGAGTTGTCTCCATCACTGTAGCTCTGTGCCTCTAATATCGTCATCTGCATCTTTTTGTAAATTATCTTGTGTGCACAAGATAAAAAATATTATGCTGGAACTTTAGGGGCTCGGGAGACAGGCCATTAAGGATGTATGTCGCCCTTAGTTTCCCCCTCATTAACACTCGCTCTTTTAACTTTGCCAACAGTCACACTTTGCCCCCCAAAATCGTGCAGAGACTCTGCAGTGCATTTTGGGATGCACGTCCATCTCTTTGGTTCTCACACACAACAAGGGAGAAAGCTGACCTTTAAGTAGAGTGAGAGAGAATAGATTGATTTAGCATGGGGTGATTTCACCCAAAAGAAAAACCATGCTGCAATTAGGATCTATTTTTGTCTACATTCAGGGCTGCCTCGTGATCCCCCCTCCTGCTTCCATCCCCATCTCTCGCTCTTATTCTCCGCCGTGCAGCCTCCCCCCCTTTGTTTCACTCAGTTAACTTTAGCAGTCGCTCTCTTTCTCCGCCTGCTTCGTCATGTGCTTGCTTGTTCTGCTTCCCTTGTTCTGTTCATAGAAAACAAAACTAAAATAGGCCTGTCTGACCCCAATAATGCAGAAGTACTGCCAGCTATAGCTGCTCTTCTTTACAGTCTTGAACACGACCTAATCAGACCAAGTCCAGAAATTCACACAGCCACATTCTCACATGTTCACACATTTACTGGCCTGCTTCTGTTGGGCCAATTTCAAGATTGTGGTTCCAAAGTACGTCTTGTTTTCATTAAAGATTTATTTCTATGTAAAGCATAGCAGGTGTTTGTTCTCCCAAACCACAAAGCAGCTGGCACATGGCTTGTAGAACAAGTCTGCAAACGCCTCCTACTCAAAAACCAGTACTTACCCTACTGATGGAGAAAAGAAGACCCGGCGTTCCGGAGCAGACCCCGGTGAAGCAGTATCTGAGCCTCCAGTAGAAGAGATGCTCAGAGACAAAGGTGATGAGTGAGAGCCCCATGGCCGTGGCCAGCATGTAGAAGACCCCAGCCATGTTGTCCACATCCAGCTGACTGGACATCACCTCGTTCTTCTCGTTGTGGCAAATACCCGTCAGCCACTGGGCTTCTAGTTCCTCCATTTCCCCTGAAAAGCAAAAGAACAGAGACAGAGAGAGACTCAAATGCTTTACTGAAAGGCCCTTTGGGGGTTTCAAATCAATGAATTTTAAGCTTAAATATGTATAATATCCAAGTTTATTCCCTGACAATGCATCATATGAGACAGAAATATACAGATAGAATGATACTCAAAACACCCCGTGAAGCTGTTATATAATGTTAATCCTTTCCATCTTTAAAGCTGTTTTAAGACATGACTTGGGGAGAATGTCCAGACTCAATTCTCCAAACTTTTTCTTGGCAACTAATCCAACAGCTCTCTCACACATACACCTCTTCCAGAGAAAGTGCAGAGAATCTCCGGAGTTTAGAGGATGTCTGAAAGCAGCTTAATTCTCGTTTTAAATGTACTGATGGTGTCTAATATTTTCAAGAGACAGAGATTGTTATACATTGAGTTATTAGTCTAATAAAATAACATATAACAGTATGTCAGCCTACATACAGGTTAGTTTTAATACTTCCCTTTAACTAAGGGGTGTTAACGTGACAATAAAAGTAAATCTTCTTCTTCTTCTTCTTAACGCAGGCTTTGGTTTAAAATACATTTCGCAAGCGATCGGGCTTCCACTCACCTCCTGCCTGATGGGGCCAAGAGATAGTTTCTTTATTGTTAATGAAAAGAAGAGTAGAAAGCAACAAAGACCTTATCTTTTCTCATTCCTGTCCCCTTCCTTCCTTCTGTCCCCCGAACCCAGCCACCCACCTACCCACCCCTCTCCGGCTTCCTCTGTGACATTTGGCGCGTGGCTAATCCAATCTGTGTCATTCAGGGCTGGATAACTAAGGCTGCTAGTGGGGAAGGACAAATATCATGGTGGTGTTCAGCTTGTTGTCTCGAGGGCTGCAGGCGCACTAAGACATCATTAACCCTTTAGGACGATTGAGGGGAATTTGTCTCCGGTTGGACTTACCAACTACAAAAGACACTGATAGATGCAGTGATGGTACGTCTTTGTTTAAAACTACATTACACCAAGCTTGGAACTGGCAACAGAAGAGAATTGAGATAAATGAGATTTTTATTTATCAATAGGTCACTTTGCCTCTGTTTTCTTTTCCTTTTTAAAAAAAAGAGTGCATTCAAGGGGAAAGCTGTGGGGAGCTGCCACTGTCTGCACTGCTTCTCTGAGTCTGTGGGGAGGAAGTATTGCTGAAATTCAAATTTTGTTCTCTTTTCAGTGGCCAGGCAGCTCAGGCAGTAGTCTGGTGACCAGTCAGCCGGAACACAGGAACACAAGTTTTTGAGAGTAATCCATACTTTTCGGAGCTTTGGAAGTAGGAAAAGAAAAACTACATATTTTAAAACGTAGCTGGGATTAGCTCAAACTCTCAAGTGGTATAGATAATGGATGGACGGATCTTAAAATGCATGAGTGCACCAACTAAATCTTTCTCCATCTGCTCATTATGAGCCCTAAACACTAAATCCATCCCCATCCAGGACCTTCCCTCTTCTTCAAAATGTTTATCTGTACTTTGAAATAACTCCTCCTCGCTTCCTGACTCCGACCGGATGATATACACAATCCTGCCACTCTGTCAAAATGTATGAATTTGGACTCGGGCCACTGCTCCAATATGAATGCTTTGGATCGAGATGGTGCTGTCAGAAACTAGGATTTACAGGTGGTACAAAGAGCACAATGTCTTTACTATTGCCAAACGGTAACGGTAAGACGACGCAATATGACAGGAAACTATTCTCTGAGTTTACTTTTTTAACCCTCGTAGAGACAACGCGGCCTGCAGCTGTTTGTCTCTGTCTGTCCATCTCTGCGTTCTTTAACTTCCTCCACTCGTCCCTGAACGTATCTTCTCCCCATCTTCTCTCTGTCTGTGCAGAGCCATATGCTCTCCACCCACATTGTGTCTATCTGATCAAGTAGCATCTGCCAGGACTCCCAGTTGCTGTCATCCATCAAGGACCTGCCCACCTCTCACTCCTCATCCCTCTCTCTCTCTCAGTCACCCTCCACCTGACGCACTCTTCCCTCATCTTCCGCTCGTAACCGCGCTCCCTGCCTCGTCCTCTTGTTGACCTCACTCCGGCCATCACACACTCACACCATCCCTGTGCTTTTATATCTCTTTCAGCACTTTCTCACTCAATCTGTTCCCTCACTCTCTCCATCTCACTCTCACACTCTCAACAGTTCTTTTATCTCTTTATGCTCTCCCTCTTATTTCTCTCCCCTTCTCCTCGTCCTTTATGATTTTAATCCTATTGTTTAGGCAGAAACATTAATATTAAGGGTCATTATTACGATAAATATTTGTCAGCACGTAGAGCAGAAGTGAGGCACATGATTTAAACACACTGCAGGGACTGAATTAAATGTTATCAGAGCCGTTTTCAGACATGACCTCAGGTAAAATCCACAGAATTGGCTACAGAGTTTACTGGCAATTTGCCTTTCACACATGCACGACACAGCAGGAGGTTTTCTGCACAGACGCTTTCACAACAGCAACAAATCCTCCGCATTATTCAGGCGAGAGGTGGAGCAGCTGGATGCAGCAGGCAAAGGCAGGAAGTGACGTATTAATTTTGCTGCGTAGATGACTGGCGTTGGCTCTGATCACCACAAACTCTCTAGACATCTTCTTCGGTGTCTTCTATGTGTGTCATCGTTTTTTCACCTGGAGATATTTGTTTTCTTCTTGCTTATTTCATTTTTGCATCTGATTCACTCACAGTGAATCCTGTGGGATCCCCCCCTGCTGTGTTATACTAGGAGACCAGGTGGAGAAAGTTCACAGAAACTGCGGAGCATCTCACTCGGTTGAGTTTAGTTTGTCTCTTTACAATATTTTAAAATTCCACTGTGTACATTTGCATTGAGCAACTTGGCTCAAAAAGTATAAAGGACTGGATGAGATTAATGATCAGAAGAAGAAGACAAAGCAAAACATAAACACCGAGTCGGATTTTTGTCAAAAGTTACTCAGTCGTGAAATATGATGGAGTGCAGCCTGTGTGCTCTGCAGCGCCGATAAGATTCGGTTAGGGAGGATTCTTGTGACACCAATGCTCATTTAATCAACTTCAGTGCACTTAATGTGAGTGGCTGCAAACACTCGAATCAGCAAAATGCTTTTGATGTAAAATGCAAATGAATCTGTCACTTGAGCTGTCTCACTTTCTGTGTTTTGCAGTGGGAAATAGTTTATGTAAGAACTTGGAGCTACTGTAATAAAGGAATGTGGTGAGTCAGATAGAGCAATAGGAACACACACACACACGCACACACACACACTCCCTAACGCTCACACACATATCTGGTGCTGCAGAGAGGAATACATTAGAATAACTTACACACTTTGCCCTCTGTTTAGAGCAGCCTTTTGTGTCCAGAATAACATCAAAGCACTATTTATACTTCACTGCTTTTCCTTTGTGCTGTCAGCAGACGAGAGAGAGAGAGAGAGAGATAGAGAGAGAGAGAGAGGAGGAGGGAGAGAGAGAGATAGAGAGACAGAGAGAGAGAACCTGTGCCTGTATTATAACGTTGGTAAGGAATACTATAACCTTTTTCTCTTCAGGATTTGCGTCTTGCACTTTGATTTTCTATACAAGAACACTGTGTATCTGTGTGTGTGTGTGTGTGTGTGTGTGTGTGTGTGTGTGTGTGTGTGTGTGTGTTTCTCACCATCTCCGATAATGGCCAGGATAGCCAGGTCCACCTGTCGTTTCCAGTAGGAGCCTTTCTGTAGAGCAATGCCGTAACCGGTAGTAGCAAAGATGTACCTGGCCACAAGCACGTACACACACACACACACGCACGCAACACGTATTTTAACCTTTATTTCTGTGCATGGTGTCATTGTGTTGGAAGATATCTTAAAGGAGATACCTCATGCATAATGATGCACGTAAATGTCATGAACTGGAAGTGTGGGTCAAAGATGTTCAGTCAAAATCACGAAAGTAGATTTTTTTTGGTCTTATGAAGCTACAGAAACTGTGTCAGTGCAGAGTGACGATGAAGTCACTGGTATTGGGAAAGAAAATGTGGGAAAATAAATCAAAGGTCAACTGTTGTTCTCGGTTGAAAACCAAACAACAAAAACAAACATTCAAGACAGACGGACATTTTAAGAAGCACAACTTGCCTTTGTGCTAAGAAGATCAATACCACTCTCATGTTTGTAAGTAAATATGAGCAGCTGGTTAGTGCGGTGGCCGAGAGAGCTCAACGCACTGCAAACGAAGACAGGAGCCAACTCAGAAAACATCTTCATCAATTTGACGACACCTGCGCTGCAAAAAGTCACAACACATGCAAATACAGAGACGCGCTGCAAATAGCGGAAAGCGACGACAGAAATGTGTCCAGGGGAGCAAAAAAAGTGACGAACCTGTAGTTCAATGTTTTGTAAAGTTACTGAAGTCTGCTTCTCGTCAGTGGTGACGGAACAGGCAGGTTCATCACTTTTTTGGGTCCCCTGGAAACGTTTTTGTGTCCCCCGCATGTGCCGTCAAATTGATGAAGTTGTTTTTTTGTTTTATTTGCATGTGTTTTCTTTATTTGCAGTGCGTTGAGATCTCTCAGCACCAAGCTCAGAGCACTGTTAGCATCAAGGCTGGAAACAGAGGGAAACAGCTAACCTGTGTTTGTTATGCTGTGTAAAAACCAAAGCATGACAACCATAGACTGTGTATGTAAAGATAAAAGACAACATGATGGCTCCCCAAAAGTGAAGCCAATGTGTCTCACTCGCCCCCTTCCCCTACATTTTTCTCAAAAATGGATATATCACTGATCTATATCCAAGTGCTCATTTATTTGGTTTTAGTTGAGTAAATGGAGTGAAACGTCATGATTGACAGCCTAGACTGAATCGAGGACATGTGTTGGTGGAACCTCGTTTCTGCGACACTACTCCATGATCACTTTACGCAATCTCTGGCTCTTAATGACGTCCTTATGGCAAGATGGCAGCGTTAGTATCAGGGATACATCGGCTTAATTTCTGGATAGTGTCGTCCATCTTTACATTGAGTCTATGGTGAGAACAACATGTTGAGTGATGTTTCTGTTCAGGACCAGTAACTTTCTGACCAAAAACTTTTCCAGAATTTCTAGAAATTTTAACTTTCTGAAATTTGACATTGTGTGCAGCTGGCACACAGAATCCAATAAATAAGCTATTTTAAACTCCAACTGGCTTGAATTTACATGCATCCTTGCAGTGGAACCATAAAAAAAAAAACCTTTACACAACTTACATAGTGGCTCGGATCTAACAACCTCTGGATCACATGATGGCGTGCAGACAATCCACACTGAAAGAGTATTTCTAAGGAATTAGAGCTTAGTTACCCGCTGCCAATGGTCACCAGCTTACACCCTTCATCTCTGCCCGCCATGTAGTTCAACACTGCAGCATCGTAGATGAAGGCATCCAGTTTACTGCAAAGGAGGAAAAGAAAGAAGAGAGGAGAACAAACAGAGTGAGGGGATGAAGACAGAGTAAGAGGGGTTTCAAGTTTTTTTTAAAGAAGGCGAATGAGGAGCAAACATGCAGAGACACAAAGACAAAAAGGGCTTTATTTTTTCAGACTGTGCTTCTTTGTGGATCAATTCTAAACTGTTAAATCATCTCCGATAGAACTGCAGCCCGAGTGTAACTGTACACACAGAGGACACAGCGGGGAGCGGCTGCAGCTCAACACAGCACGCCTCACCGATCACAGGACCTTGGAGGCAAATGACGACCTAAACAAACTTTAGACAGACACAAACATTTACACTGTCAATTTCTCTCCCTGCCTCCATCCACACACACACACACACACACACACACACACACACACACACACACACACACACACACACACAGACAAGAAGGTTGCAAAGTAGAACGTTAAAGATCCCAGACTCAGTCTGACATTTTGAATGGAAGTGATGCCGTCATTAAGTGCCGCTCCCTCACTCGTTCAGAACTTGCACATTTATACACACACACACACACACAAACACACACACACACACACACACACACACACACACACACACAGTCCTGCTAGTAGTGCGGTGACTGCCTGGCATTTACTGAATGTCAGATCCAGCCAGTGAGGTTCACTGTCGATAGTTTAGCTGTGTAATTAGCTTAACCCAGCACTGGCTCCATCCACACGCAGACTGCGTGTCAAAACTTGTGGGGAACCAGGCGTGTGTGTGTGTGTGTGTGTGTGAAGATGTGGCTGTGCACTGGTGCGTGTCTTTGAGCATGTTTGTAGATGCTGGCCAGACATACTGTAGCTCTAATGGCTTGGAGAGGGATTCAGCCGTCACTGACGTGTCACACCTTCATGTGGGTGAATGAAAAGTCAGATTTCTTTGCCACGTTCCTTCTACGGCTTTGAATATCAACTTTAACACAGCAACACGGACATTTACCATGACTCTGAATCTTATTTTACAGCCCTACAGGAAAATGCACTACCTAAACTGTCACTGCACAAATAGCAACTGCACCTAAAATACATTTTGACAGCGATATTTCTTAATCTAAAATGACAACACCTATTCAATTTCATAAAAACTGTATATCATAACTGAGTATTTTGTCCGTATCAAATTCTTATGTGGATTTTTAAAGTATTACGAGGACTTTTAATGTGTACAATCACATTTTTAATTCTGTGTTCAGTTTCAGTTAATGCATGCGAGGCTGACAACAGACTGACAACAGCAGTGCATCATAAACACTCAAGAGGCCGCATTGATGTGGCTACGTGTTACCACAAAGAAAAATAAAGAATCCAGGCTGAGGGCTCACAGATGCCAAGACTCTCTGGGTCTTGGCAGGATTTTACAACTCTGGAAAGTTACCCCCAACAGTCGTAAATCCCCGGCTAAATGTGTCCACATTGGCATGTTAACATTTTTAATTTCTTGAGTGCCATATGGTTCACGGTGTAAGGTATTCTAATGTGAGTGCATTTGCATATGTTTGAGCAGTGAATGGAGAATGTTGCTGGGTGAAGCTGAGGCAAAAGTTAAAGAGCGATCGAACCCTGCATCTTTCTGCCAAGGCTCCTTGTAATGGGATTGACAGGGTTCATCTGGAATGGGCTCTCACTGAAAATGAATGGGTTAGAAGAGGTAGTTTTTTTAATCACTGCAGCTTGTTGGGTCAGTGGCAGTGTATTGGCAACAGATATAAAGGAATCAGGTTCAGATTTAACTTCACCCCTAAGTTTTGGGAGGCAGCCCCCCCCAGCGAGACATCTCCTGTAGCAGTGCACACACAGACAGATTCTGACAAACAGACAGAGACAGATTCTGCAACAGAAAGTTGTATGACGTCGAGGGCTCCTCCAAACTCCAGGAGACGATGACAGACGTCTCTGAATAGTGATCGTGGAAAATGAACGTGCCTCCTGATTCCCACTCACGGTCACTGGTGGTGATGTAGAGACGTCCCAAACAGTTGAGCCATGTTCAACCCATAAACGTAGTTTTATAAATTTGGTGATAAATGTAAAAGCATTCATTTATTTCATCACCTATTTTAATTTAAAAACATTTAAGAATGTACAGAAGTTCTCTAATGTCATCAAGTGTCTTTTTACATTCACTTACTCCCCCCTGGTTGTGGTTCTTGTGCCTGTAAAGGATTGTGTGAGTGAAACCTGTCAGCGTTACCTGTGACGATCAGATGAACGCTGCACTGTTGCTCATCTGCTCGTACCACACAACAGAATTATCAATGAGCGGATTACATGCACCTACAGCCAGGTATACACCAGCATGTGCTTTTATTTCTAAGTACGCTGCATGTAGTAGTACTTCACTGAGGTATTTGTATGTGTGTGCATGTCCTGTATGTTAATGCATATCTCACATGCTGGAGTGGTTTGTGCTGTTTTTACATTCACCAGTTTATTTATGACTTATGAGACAAAGACAGAACAGCATAAGAATCATGGATTGTGAATCATATTTGCTGTGTGTGTGTGTGTGTGTGTGTGTGTGTGTGTGTGTGTGTGTATGTGTGTGTGTGTGTGTGTGTGTGTGCAGCTGAGAACACTGATTGGATCCCACCCCATAGCCATTAACCAATCAGAAATTACGTCTTCTCAAATCATATCATCCCATCAACCTTTCGTCCTTTACCTTTACCACTTTTCTTCCCTTACCATCTCTCCATTCCTTTATGATCCCCCTCTTCCTCTCCTGTCCCCTTCGCCTCTCTCTCTTCCGATTTTTCTTTTTCTACACTCACCCTTAATTTCCTCTTCCTCTCTCTTCCGTCACCCCCCAGTTTTCCATCTCATTACCACTTCCTCCTTCTTCACTCTCTTGGTCCCTTCCTCCTGCCCTTCACCCTTCCATCATTTCCACCAATCAGACACTTTGCCCTTGGCCTCCTTCCCCACCCCTTTCTCTCTTTTCCCCATGGTGTGATGGTGTGACGAGAGTCCCCCCCCGGCCTCTCCTTGCTTTTCTTTTTACCATCTTCACCTCCTCTTCTCTATCCATCCAACACTTTCATTGCTCCACTCTTTTATTCTGCCCTTGNCACGATCAGAATCAGGCCGCACACACTGGCCAGCGCTTGACCCCGGCGGCCTGCCTCTCTAACTGGGTTGAAATAACAAATCAACCCCCCCCCCCTCCCCGGCCTCTCCTTGCTTTTCTTTTTACCATCTTCACCTCCTCTTCTCTATCCATCCAACACTTTCATTGCTCCACTCTTTTATTCTGCCCTTGGTTAGCTTTGCGATAACACTCTCTCCTTTCCTCTCTGACACACACCCCACCACCACCAGTCCCAGTATAGAGACCAGTACTAAAAATAGCTCCTGCTGTTCCCAATGAGGAAGCCCATTCATCCCCAGTCTCAGAGGAGCTGTCACACACAGACACACACTCAAACATGCAGGACTGCACACAACAGTTTGATACAGATATATACAAATATTTAGCTTTGCTAATGATATTTGATCGTGATCAAACATAAATACACCCACGGAGCTTCCTTACCCTGTTTTGAGACTAACAAGTGCATCCACAACGCCAGTTTGATGATATTTCACCATGTACTGGTGCATGGCAGGGTAGTTCTTCCTGATGTTCCTCTCTGTGGAACCGTTTGGAACCGTCCCAAAGCGGAACGGAGGTGAGTATGCATACGGGTTCTGAAACTGTGGCAGAGGAAAGGAGAATAATGGAGAGCGGATAAGGAGAGGAAAAAACCCCAGAGGAAACAGAAAAGGTTAAACATAAATACAGAGATCTGCACAGAGACAACATGTATTTTGTGTGTGTGTGTGTGTGTGTGTGTGTGCGTGTGTGTGTGTACAGCACAGATTCCTTACTGATAAGACGGGACTCAGACAGAAGCCATGGACTCCCCTGTGATTGTCTAAATACCTGATTAGCTTCATTGTAGTTAAGTCTTTTCCATTTAAGAACTAATATAATTAAATGTTTAAAATTTGCATAAGGCACATTTGAGGATCCTATTTAAGTGAATAAGAATCACTGCCTGGCGGTGGAGCGCCTCGCCCAGCCGCTCACATTGAAGGAAAGATGGTCACAATCTCCTCTTCTGCTGCTGAATGATGACTAGACAATGGGCTGTTGCAGAACAGTATGATGTCAGTGTTGACCTTTGACTTTGTGTATATTGTGTACATCACGGTTTCTATAATCAAACATTTGAAGTATAATATATCATGTTGGATAAAGTTGCTTAATGGAGTTCTACCTCATTTAAGAAAAAGTATGTGCAGTTCTAAAGTCAAAACAAGTATCAGTGTAGCACGTCAATATCTGCCTTTGAGTGGCTGTGACATCAAGAAGCAACTACACTCTTAGATCCCGTCCCACAAATGCAGGTCATTCTTTTGGAGTTTGTAATATTTGATCACACACTAATCTCAATACTGGCTCATTGACTTGTCTCCATTTTGCACTTCATCTCCCCCACTCTCTCTGATCTACAGTTTCTTTTCATTGAATCTTCTGTGATTTGTGAATATGGGTTGATTGATTATTCTAAACTGGAATAATCAGTGATCGTTTTCTCATTGCACCTCTCTCCCTTCACCTTGTTTTAAACTCCCCTCCCCTTTTGTGTTGCACATTTTATATTTATCATATTCATGTTATTGAGTAATTGCATTCATCCGATTTCCTTATTTTCTACGGACCGTGCACACTATCAAACACGACCACTGCAGGTCAGCTTTTCCTTGTCTACCTCCATCTCCTCTCCCTTACTCTGACAGATTATCTTCTCCCTTTTATAAAACACCCTCCCTTCATTTCTCTCTGTCCACTTCCTCCCTCCTCTGCATCTCTCTTAGGTATAATCTAGTCAGTGTACAGGTCAAGGGTTTGTAGTGGTGTGCTTGTCGCTGCGCTAACAACCTACCCTCAAGCACTGTGATAACAATCTGCCCCCAGTGCCAGAAACAGATGAACCCTATCAATTAGAGGCATGTATTATGAGCTCCACTCAAACCACGTGTGTGTGTGTGTGTGTGTGTGTGTGTGTGTGTGTGTGTGTGTGTGTGTGTG